CCAGACCAAGAGAGCGCCTGTCGAAAGGGTTGTTGACTCTTTGACTTCCTACTTCGTACCTGTTGTTACCCTTGTGGCAATCCTGACTTGGATTATCTGGCTCAGCCTTGGACAAAGCGGGACACTACCAAGCTCGTGGATGGATATCTCGGTCGGCGGCTGGCCTTACTGGTCACTACAATTCGCCATCGCTGTCTTCGTGATCGCATGCCCTTGTGGTATTGGCCTTGCAGCCCCGACCGCACTCATGGTCGGTGGTGGTCTTGCAGCTAAGCATGGTATCCTGGTTAAAGGCGGAGGCGAGGCCTTTCAAGAAGCCAGCCAACTAGACTGCATTGTCTTTGATAAAACTGGAACTCTCACTGTTGGTGGGGAACCTAAAGTCACCGACTGCACCTATTTCACAGTGGACGTCTCAGAGGACCATGTTCTGTCATCAGTTGTAGCGTTGGAATCTGGAAGCTCCCATCCGATCGCGAAAGCTCTCATTGCACATGGCAAGGATCGCAAAAATACGCCTGGAACAGTCCAAGACTCGGAAGAGATTCCTGGAAAGGGAATGAAGGGCTCTATTGCCATTGGTAATTCTAGATTGGAAGTGCTCATTGGAAAGCAAGCTCTCATGACGGATTTCGATGTTGCACTTACTTCTGAACACACGGATCTGGCCGAGGAGTGGTCAAGACAGGCAAAATCCATTGTGTACGTTGCCAACAGGTCTGACTCGTCGGCTCCTTTCGTCTTGACAGCGCTCTTCTCAATATCTGACCCTATCCGCCCTGAGGCCGCGTCAGTCATTGCTTCGCTACAGTCACTTGGTATTACCACCTACCTCTTGACCGGTGATAATGCTCTTACTGCAGCAGCAGTAGGCGCTCAGCTCTCCATCGACCCATCCAATATCATCGCCGACGTACTACCATCCGAAAAGGCTGCAAAGGTACGCTCCCTACAGTCTTCCTTGACCTCCACTAAGTCTAAGCCGCGCGCAACGATCGCCATGGTAGGCGACGGCATCAACGACTCGCCCGCCCTCGCCACCGCCGACGTCGGCATTGCCATCGGTTCAGGCTCGGATGTGGCTATCAGTGCCGCACACTTCGTCCTCATCCGCTCGGACCTCAATGCTCTCCTCACCCTCATCCGGCTGAGCAGGAAGGTCTTCCAGCGTGTGCGCTTCAATTTCTTCTGGGCTCTTATCTACAACCTAATCGCTCTGCCTGTCGCTGCAGGCTGTCTCTATCCGGTCACAACACGCTCGGGTGATCATGTACGTCTTGATCCGGTCTGGGCTGCCCTAGCGATGGCTGCTAGCAGCGTCAGTGTTGTTGGTAGTAGCCTTGCGTTAAGGAGCGGATTACCGGGGCTGGGCTTCAAAGGTTAGTGTTGCTAAGACTCCTGGCAGGCGGACCGGGCTTCTGTTTGAGCGAGATAGAGGGGTCGAATGTCGGCAATGCTTTGAAAGGAATGAGCGTCGCTCGTGAGGTTTATGATTTCATGAAGCATTAGATATACTACAGAATTAATCTTACATTCACTATCATACATTGCTCCTCTTCAGTAGCTAGGGGATGAGTCGGCCAGCACCCCGCCCTCATTGCCCCGGGGGAGTTCCTGTGTGACTACCTCGGTTCGGTATACCGTCACAAATACTACTGACGATATGCTTTTGCTGCAAGTCATCCGGCATGACTGGACCTCGGTATGCAATGCCGGCGCGACCAGACCCTTATGCAAAGACGACCGGCATGGTAAGGGAAGGGAAGAGCAACGGCCTCCTCTACCTAGTCGAATGGTCGGGGAATTGGGGCGCTTCCCTTCATAATATCTTGCACTTTCGTCGCTGTCTTTCCTGTCTTCCCTGTCTGAGCCTACGAACGACATGATTGTTCGCCAAAGCACAGATCTTGCGACAGAACGTATCTCGCTCTGTTATTGCCAGAAGTCCATAATCTTACGTACTGGCAGTACAGAATTGAATAAACGACGATATTATGATTCGTTCTTGCTGCAGAATTCTGTTCGCATATGCAAAAAGTGCCGCTGAAAAACTGGTCATATTTGCTGGAAGCGCAGCATCGCAGGCGTCATGGATATTGCGCCCGTATATACTACTATAGTTGAGATCATAGACATCGCAAACGATCATCTTGGCGCACTACGCGCAGAGTGCTTGAGAGTGAGCACATATATCACTATAGCGAGGAATTGCAAGCAAAGTACTAGTTGAGATGAGATGTTCGAAAAAAGTCACAAAACCAGCAGGAAAAAAGGAAGCGCTTATCCAAAACTGGCATTAAGCACGTGGAGAAGAGGAAAGAACGTGGTAAAGCAAGTGTTCGGGAGGGAAATGCGACACGGGAGCCCGGAAATCGTTGTGGATGTTGCAAAGCGCAACGGCTGGTGTGGTATCGTCTGTAGACGAATATCTCTGACTCCCGTATGTACAAGATGCAACGCAGGGCGAATGTTACCGGCGCATAATCGTATACCAGCATCTTTTTATTCTTAAAAATGCCGTCTTTCGGGTGGGGCAGTCGCCATCAACTTTTCCGTCTAAGGTTTTGGCGAAGCTTCGTCAAACCCCACCCCAGATTTGGCGAAAGTTCGACGAGACGATCGTTAAAGGTATAACGAATTACTCTTCGCTTTGGTGAACAGGGTTCGGCCAGCTGTGGGTGACTGAACAGCAGTGTCTTCTCATGCACTGCATCATAAGTAGATCAAGTCATCTTATCATGCGCGTTCATACTTTATGACACCTACCGTTGTGTTCCAGCTACTATTCGCACCTACCTTTGCGAGAAGCTGCAAATGGTGAATAGTTGCACACTTCTTACTTTTACTCCCCCTCCTGATCCTCTTGTCAGAGTCGTCACACAGACACTGACGCTCTCCGACCTACCATTTTGCTATCGACTTAAACAAATTACAATTGTGGCACCACAGCCGAGCGATACCTCAACAAGGAGAATGCCGAATCCATAATCGCGCCCTGCTACCAAAGACCTTTACGTGACCGTCATACATTTCGATCTACTGGTCAGACGCCTAGTCGACGTCATACTCTCGCAGATGGTATTCGACTTGAAGCTGTCTCTAATGAGGAGCGGAAACCTCAGTTCAGGCGGTCATGCAAACCCAGCAGATTGACGATGAGAAGCAGCGGAACTGGCTTAAGGGCATCGCCAAAGCATACTGTCGCTGAGGTCCAGGCGGCTGTGCAAAAGGCGAAACAATTGGGAAAGGAATGCACTGTGCTTGAGGACGATGGTGGTGCTTCAGAAGCAAAAGCAGGGAGACCAGGGATGGAGGGCTGCGCACTCGTCATCTCACCTGTAGAGTTTGAGAAGGAGGCTTCGAGCTCTTGCAATCATGACTGACCTGTGTGAGAGACTCGCTAGAGAAATGAGATCTTTTGTGTGGACGAGAAGAACCTCCGGGAAGCATTCGACTGGTATAGCATACTATCAGTCCAGGTCCTGGGTTGTGGGCTCGCCTAGCACGAACCCGTCCTACGAGTGAGTATTGGATCCATCAGAGGAAGCAGCTATCATGTATGCTCCAGTAGGACGTTTCCAAAATGAAAAGACTCCCATTTTTCCTTAGTCTTGGGGCAGGCGTCTCTGAACTGATTTATGCGTACGGTGCTTGGGACAGTTTATAGGTGCCGTTGTCCGTCGTGCGGTGGTCTCGTTGGCTGATTGCCTGTGCATACATTTGAATAGTATGGCGATCATGGAAGTCAGGTGTCGTTCACGTTCGACCAATCTTTGCACGTGATGTTTTCTTCCGCTATTTTTTTCGCCTCTTGGATTCAGCCCCCTAATACAACACTTTCATCGATGAGAATGATGAATGAAAGTGTTTGCTTCAATGCCGTACGCCACCGCGTCCTTGGTTTGGAGAGTATGCGAGTGAGCGTCACAAAAGGTGCGTCGCACGTCGGCGCGGGAATGAGCAACTCAAATCAAGTCATACGGCGTCCTGGGTGTACACAAATTAGGTCCTGTTCAGCTGCAGAAGATATCTAAGTCTCCTCCACAAGGCAATCTTCAGGATGCTTGCTCGATCATGGTGAACGATGTATTTTCCGGAAAGGTAGCCAATATATCCTTCTGCGCGATGAAAGTGTCCGGTAACAATAGTGATCCTTTCATCGGAACCGAAAGTTTAGTCACAACAATTCTGCCCTTGTGCCTACTATGACTACAGCGCTCTTGGTGTATGATAGCACAGATAAGCTAGTGATCGTTGATAAGCGACTGATCTTGAGGTGGGCCACGGGACGATCGCTCGTCGACGGTGTTCTCCTACTGTCGTAAAGGCCCTAGCGGGTCTCCTGTCAAGACGATCCCTTGGGTATGAGGCTAGGGCAGCAACCATGATTCATAAAATAGAGAACGATAAAGTCATATCGCGCAAGATAGAGTAGGCGAAGTTTTGCAAACGAATCGACTCGAGTTCGCTTAAAAAGTCAAGTTCAGTGGTCGCAAGAAGCCTCTACAACGATTGTCCCAGACAGACAAGGAACTAGCGCATTTCTCTTGCTTGCCGACCTGATATCATGCTACGGGACACTAAAGTCAACTCCTCATAGAGGACCCCATAGAGGAGCATACTTTTGTTCTCACATTAATGTCTCAAATTTTCATTTGGCCATCAGATCAATAGCAGTCTTCTAGAATTTCAAGCAAGATTTCTCAGAGAGGCTTTGGTGGGAGTTGTACAAACATTGTGGTATCGAACAGGAGCAGATGACCAGAGTTGGTAACATGTTGCAGAAGTATCCACCACAGTTTGTTGGGGGATAGGATGGGCACTCCCAGTCTGCCCCTTGAACCAGGTTGCTTTGAAGAGGAAATAAGTGAAATCCTACCAAGCTTCATCTTCATTGGCAAGGACTCTCTGAAACATGTTCTCTGAACTTCCTAAAAATTGCTAAAATTTCAATATCTTGCATGAAAATACAAGACTTCAATTCAAAAACAAAAAGTAAGCTCTCTGACAGGGAGTCGAACCCTGGTCTCCCGCGCCTTGTCACCAAGATGACAAGCGGAAATCATGACCGTTAGACCATCAAAGATGAGAAACTTGCTTCTTTCGAAGTCATGTGATCAAGCGTGATCTGTCATGTATATATACCTTTGGAATAAAACATAATCACTTGCCATCTCGAAGCTCTCCTCAACAAATACACAGTTTCGAATTTCGTCGATCTTTATTGTGCTACAAGATAAGATATGCAATCGCTCTGCAAAAACAATGATCTCCACAAGAATGCTAACGTCATTGCTTTCAATTTGGGCATATCATGTGCACGACAACTTTATCATCCAGTGGATATCTCAGAGTGGTCCAACCTGTACCAGTCTGTACCAGGCTTGTTCATGATCGAGTGTCACATTTGCAAGTGAGCCGTAGTCACTATTGGACGTCAAGCAGACTCATGTCACATGAGCCTGAAATCCTCAGCGTCTTTCGCCAAACTCCAGCTCGAATTTTGTCAAGCTTTGACTAGAACCTCGAGAAAGTCCGACCGAGGATCGTTTGAATTGCCGCGAAGCACAGGTCAGGTCAGTGCGCAAAGCCAAACACTCAATCGAGACAAATTCGAATTTCGTGTTTATTGCCCTTCTCGGCCTTGTATTTGCCTGCATCTATCCACATTTGGCTCTGCTACGCCGTTTCTTTTTCTGATCTTGTCTATTTCCTGCTGACGAGGCTGTCTATAGGGCTACAGATTCTAATTCCAGATCTGATCTGCCAAACGTACATTTTAGCATGCGCATGGCGATCAGAGCATCTTTCGTGCAGCTCAACCTTAGAACAGCATGCTTGGGCTTGTCGGGACTGCCATGAGTACTGTGGTGTATTCCTGATTGAATTCTGAGGAGAACATGCAATTGGACGATAGGGGTGCTTTCTTAGACCGCCAAGGCTGCAAGGGGGGGAATTGGTGCTTCTGGCATTTGGCAGGCCCCGAGGTGTGGGAACGATGGCCCCAGCAGCCCGGCAGAGGCCCCATCAAAAACACCCTAGCAAAGCCACGAAGCTGGCTTCCCCAGTGATCACATATTTCATCATTCGCGCAAATGCGTGTCAGGGAGACAATGGTCAAAAAATGTTTATTGTCAATGTACAGAGCCCACGATTGTGAAGAAATACTGCGACTGATGTCCCTCCGCGCTGTTTCACGCAGTCCGCGTAATGTGATGAACTCGCCAGGGATAGAGATCGAATACTATTAGACGTCGAACACTGCCGAGAGCTGGGGCAACATGGGCACGCAGTACGGGTCAAATAAGTTAGACATCATCGAATCAAGCTTGATATCACTGATGCTACGGCGAGCTTGAGAGACTTAGACTGGTCACTGGTCAGAACGTCCTCTATAGTCCCGAATTTTAGAGTTGGGGTTTGATATCGTTATAGAGGATGTCTCTTGTCAGCCGATCTTGTGAGGGTCGTCGAAGAGCAGCCTACTAAAGCTCTAGGATCATGACTGAAAACCGATCCTTTGTGCATCACCTTTCCGCGGCACAATGTTTCAGTTTGCTTGCGTGGCCAATCATCCACTAATTGGCCTCTACAGAGACCTCCTGTGTGCCTTTATACATGTGCCTCGACATGTACTCGCCGTAATCGCACCATCTGACGGCTTCGTAATTCAGATGCCCGCTACCCTTGCAAAGACTGGACATTGGCTCGACAAGAGCTTCGTGGTCTGGTGCAAAGAAGTAAGGAATGGCGTAGCGACCTTTGGTGATGGTGTCGCTTTCCATATCCTGCACCGTGCTTGGCGGAAGTGTAACTCGGTGCATGGCACTTGGGTAGATACCGTTTGAGTATCTCATTAACATGTCCCCAACGTTCAGAATGCAAGTGCCTTGCTCGGGGATGGAACGGAGATACTCTTTTGTCCCGGGGTCTTGGAGCTCCAAGCCTCCGACAGAGTCTTGAAAGAGGAAGGTGAAGGAGCTCCAGTCTTGATGGGGCGGCATGCGTCCGATCACTTCAGACTTGAGCTTCTGTGTCTCTATAGGTGGGTAGTGGAGTAGGCGTAGTTGGTTATTCTGGCCCGAGTGTAGTTGCTTGAGCCGTGCAGTTTCCTCCGGGTCGAGCTTGAGCGACATGCACAAAGCATCGAGGATGCGACAACCAGCTTGGTGGAAATCGTGATATATGCGAAGACCGTCTTGCTTGAATCCTGGATAGATGGAGTCTGGCAAATATATGTTGGGTTGGAAGTCATTTTTCTCACTGCCAATCTCGAAGCTCTCCTGGTAAAGTGTCAATTTATCAGTTTTTTGTAGAGGGTGCGGACGGATGAAAACCTACCTTGTGGTCCTCGGTCTTTCGGAGGGCCTCACCAGTTCCGTTCGATGCAGCATCGGCGTCTCGTTCAGCCTTCGAATAGACCTTCTCCATGCCGGCATGTGAATATCCACGGTGAGGCATAGCTTCTGGCGGATGAGGGGCTCTCAACTTATCCTCCAGAGGCAGATCAAACAAACGCTTTGAATACGCGAAAGCATCGTCTAGGCGTTGACTTGAGATACCAATCCCCCTCAGATTCACAAATCCAAATCTACTGCAGGCATCGTGAAGCTTTACCGCGGCTGCTTTCTGGTCCTCCACCGAGCCGCCGGGACCAAAGCAGGACAAGTCAACGGTGGGGATATGTGTAGCCATGGTGGAGACGGGGAAAATCAGGAAAGGACGGATAACGGACCACAAGACTAACGAGGTGAATGAGTGTCGAGCTTTATAAGCAAATGTTAATGAATAACATCGGATCTGACATGCATCAGCATGCGGCATCACCGTGTCGATCGCTTGCTCGAGAACCCAAGTCTCCCGTCCACATTCTTGGTCCGCGAGGGTCAGCTGAGCAGCGTAGAAACTATCCAAGTATTCTTTCTTAGACTGGATCGATCCATGCTTAGACCTGGTGTGCCTGCATCACCGACAGGGCCAATGGAGGTGCTCGTATATAAGCGGAATAGGGTGCACGGGGCCAACCCCATCACAGTATAAGCATTACTAGGCAAACCCCAGCCCAGTCTTTGTTATCAAATCTCTGGTTTGTCTATTCAAGACCGGGGCTATAGATCATTGAGAGCGTCCTAGAATTTGATTTGTATAGCGGGATTGAATATATCGAAAATGCAATAACTCGTGGTGAATTGGACGAAACATTTGGCGCCGGGAGGCTGGAAGACAGGACATTGGACCAGGATTGTTACGTCGAATTGATAATCCGATCCGAGACGAGCCCAGCAGCTGGCCAACGACATACCTCAATCTTCTTCCGCCTGCTCATCATCGAGAATGCCCATGACTGTCGTGCATCAATTTTCGACACCAACCTCGAGACGAATTGTTGGTGGATATTCTTGACTGATTCATCCCGCTATCTCTCACGCTTCGTCCTGGGCGAGATCCCGAGGATTTGCGATCCGCCATGTCGCAAAGACTTCTTCCCCTCTTCCTCTCCGCGCGAACACCTTTCGACCCTCCGCCCATGCACCACCCGCCGTGACCGACGCGTCGTCATGAGAATGTGAACCATACCTTACCCGAAAATGTCTGACGGCCAGAATTATCCGTCACCGAACGAGGCCCATGTCGGCAACAACGGGCCCTTCTACGGTCGGCCCAACGCGATCGAGCAGAGTCCACCGCCGCAGGAAATTCCCGACGACTTACAATTGCGCGCAGACCTCGCTCGCTCACTTGCTCCGCTCACAAATGCTGCCCAACAAGGTCAAATAGACGAGGATCTTCTGCAAAGCTCGGGCGCGTACGGCCAGCATCTTCTTGCCCCGGGCCCCGTCAGCATTCATGAAGGCAGCCCCAGCGACCAGCCCCAGCACGATGGCTCTACCAAACGCAAGGATCAACGACACAAGGTGTCCAAAGCCTGCGATGAATGCAGGCGCAAGAAGATCAGATGCGACGCTCCCAACGAGGAAGGACACGATGCCTGCTCGAACTGCAAAAGAACTTTCACAGGATGCACCTTTAGCCGTCAGCAACTGAAGCGAGGGCCGAGCAAGGGATACATTAAAGAGTTGGCTGATCGCTTGAAAGACCTCGAGGAACATGCTCGTCTACAGCAAATGCACCCCGACATGCCGTTCACTACCCCTCCGAACATGCCCGAGGATGCCATTGCTCAACGCTTTGCAGAATTCCAAGCACAGCTGTCTGAAGCATCTCAGCCGCCTCAACCGGCCCAAGTGCCTCAAATGGCAGGCCAGAAGAGACCATACGATACCGTAGATCTCGGGCAGCGCGAAAGTCCAGATCAGCTCAGAAGGTCGGCGCCTTTTGCACAGGATCAATTCACACCATATCAGCAGTCACCTGCTCCCCAAGACCCGCCTGAGGTCGCTCAATCCTTTGGTCGGCAATTTCAGCCCTTCTTCAAATACGGTGCCGAACCTCCACGACGGGACATTTCCAGCACAGCTTTCGACGCAAACGCGCCAGACGTGCCCGCTATTTCCGATTGGGATGATGAGGTTGTGGACGAATACTATCAACTAATACACCAAACATTTCCGCTTCTACCACAGTCCAAGAACAATCTACGGATTCGTATCTCTGCATGCCCTGCAGGTCTTCGAGAAGCTTTCGTCACTGTTCTGGCCTGCATGATGAAGACGTTCCCATCAAGTAAACTGCAGACAGGGCAGACTTACCCGGCAAGTCTGAAGCGCGCAGCAGAACTGATTGCCGGATACCCCTTTGATAACCCGTCGACTCATACGCCAGGCACCGACCTGGTCTACCTTCAGACCCTCCTTCTCATGGCCATGATGGGCGACAATTTCGGACCGCTAACCATGCAAGGACAAGCTGGTCCCTCTCGGGCAGAGTGGCTTGGTCGGGCGGCCGGTGTTGCGGCCCAGCTTGAAATCAATCTGATCAGGCCTCGCGAGCGCCTAGTATCTGATGGCGACCCCGACAGTGAAGAGCGATTAGCTCGTCGGGTGTGGTGGGTATTGTTCATCCTGGACAGGTGGCACTCATGCTCAACAGCAGATCTTCTTAAGCTTCCCGAAAACTCGGTCGTGC